TTATTAATTAAGTAATTATTTGAATTGTGAGTAAGATCTTGAACCAATGTATGTACACATTATATATATAAACACAATGTATGTCCATTTATGCAATCATATGTTATATGCAATGGTTTAATATTATCATTAACTAAAAATAGATGAAATTAAACGTCGAATATGTCATTAAATGCCATTTAAATATTTTGTTTTCAAAGAAAATTGTGTTGTTATGTCATAACAAATTTTATAACTCCTTTTTATCAAAGGGGGAAAAAATAAATATATATATATATAAATAACACGTACTTACCTAAATTCCTTTCTTAATCATTCTTCAAATGCATTTAATCAATATATTTTGATTGCGATAAAATTAAAGTTTTAAAATAACTTTTTTAGATATTTTTATACAAAAACTGATAAAATTGTTGTTTCACTCTCCGATCAAACAACAAAGTGACGTCATTACGACGTTGTTAAATTTTGTGTAATTATCGTTGCGCCACCTGACGACAATGAAATAACTTATCGTTTGGTCTTAACGATTTTCCTGTTTTTCGTGATTGATGTTTAATTATTCCACCTTATTTTTATTTTTATTTTATTATGCAATATACACGCATATATATATATGTGTGTGTTTTTTTAAATAATAAAAAGATGTGAATTTTTTATTTAAATAAATGTTAATTAGTGAATGTGTTATCGCTCTTATTACATTTACATAATGCGAGGTGTGTGAATATTATAGAATGAACTTTGTAATAAAAAAAACACGATCATAAATTAACCAATTAGATTCATTGTACTTTTAGTAATTGTCGATTAATTAAACTACAAATAAAATATTATTATTCAAAATATTAATTTCTTCCAACAAGTTCGTGAACGGTAATCGCTTCATTATGAATCATACAATGTAATGTTTTTGTTTTTACTCATGTTTTTAGCTCTTTCTGCCATGTAAACAATATCAGGGTATTTTCCCCCTACTAGTCACGGGTTCGGCTAAGTCTAAAACTATAGAACCATTAAGTAACGGACCGGTCTAACATATCTGAGACTTACCGCCCTTGAAAAATCCCTGAAGATGATCGCATGGATTAAATCTCAGACTCCTCAGAGCGGTAGGCTTACGCCTTAACCGCCTCGACTATCCGTCCGTTATTTATTTATGCATCACTTTTTAAGCTCCATGTACTGTACGTCTTCTTATTGTTATTAGTGTTGCAACGAATAGTATATTCGGCCAGGAGCGTGGCCGAATAGCCGAATATTCGGCCAAACTATTCGGCTTGATTAACGTACGTACGAAAATTGGCGCCCAAACCGCATTATGGCAAGGACCCTGCTCTCTAATTGCCCACTGTCACTATGCTTCGCTAATCACGTTAATTCTTGACAGTTGTAGCGGACAGACAAGAGCGTCATGGCAGTATGTGATAAGTGATGATATCAGATGTGAATAACAATGAAATGACCTACACATGTAAATAACGGAAAAAGAACAGCGAAGGACTGCGAAGTGAAAATGTGAAAATAAATATGAAATTGAGTTGATAACGTAATCGAACAAGTCGAGGCAACTTATTGGCGCGAAATTCGCGGCCGTCAATGCCAAACAATTGTTGTCATAGCCTTCGGAAAGCTTGTAATGAAAGTCACTTAGCGTACACGGACGAAAGCCTGAGGCCGTTCGGGCTACCAAAATAATGTAAACATGGACATTTGTAATGTATAAAATTTACTGTAATTTCTTTTTAAAAATAGCATCAAAATAAATTTGATATATTTTCATTTTAGTAGTATTATTACTGCACAATTAATCATTTTTAAACTGTATTTCATACTATCTATTTTTCATTAATATATTAATACACGCAAACCAACAAATCAATGTCAACAGCTAATCTCAAGAATACAATATAAATTTAAAAAAATATTGACCTATTGTTAAAATCTTGTTTCTTTCTTTTTAATTTGAAAATATTTATATATTCAGTAAATGAGATTATGAGATTTAATCATTATTTTAGTTTACATTAGGTAAAAATCTTTCCATTTAATAAAAAAACTTTATATGTAAAAAAGATTTGTTTAGAATAATTTGCAATATATATTTTATAATACATTAATATTTATTTATTTAAAATTCTTATATTATTATTTGATTCATTCTATAATAATTGAAACATGAATTTTTATTGTTTCAATGTAAACTTAAAATAATGTTTTTAAACAAACATTACATACGAATAATATTATTATTATTATTAATAATAATATTGAAAAGAATCTATCATATTCTTTAAAGCAGTTTAATACACAAAATCTATTCAAGGTTAAGGTATTTAAGTAAAGTTTTTTTGATTCTAATATCGACACATCGCTTCTGCAAAACACCATCTTAATTATAGAATAAATATAATTCACAAATCTATAGTCTTCAGTAATATATATAAATAAGATCAATTATACTCACCGATAAAAAAAATTTTAATGCATAAAAACAATTTGACAACGTGTAAATAGAAAAACTAATTCAATTGCCAACTTAAATTTAACCATATTTATTTAAACCATGCAAAATCATTAAAAGCCATTGACGTATAACTCGAACCGATTTCAAATTTGCACGGTTTAACCTATTGCACAAAATTATTATTTCGGTTGCATATAAGATCCCAAAAAATTTATATTCGTACATAAACACATGGTATGTCATTTTGTGCAATCGTGCCATACACAATAACAACAAAAGGAATCTAACACACAGCTCTGTAGACAAACCCGTTCAAGGTTAAGGGATCAGAGCAGTTTGCTGCTTCTGATATCAATATACCGTTACAATAAAGCATGTAATTAGCCCAATAAATCAATATAATTTATAAATTAACTGCAAGGAGGAAAAATTTAGTTTATTAATGCACAAAAAAAAAAAAAAAAATAATCATTTGACAATTTAACATGTAAATGATAGTAGTTAATTAAATTATTAACTGATTTAAATAAATGCTGTATAAAGTTATCAAAGTGGTTATTAATTAAGTAATTATTTGAATTGTGAGTAAGATCTTGAACCAATGTATGTACACATTATATATATAAACACAATGTATGTCCATTTATGCAATCATATGTTATATGCAATGGTTTAATATTATCATTAACTAAAAATAGATGAAATTAAACGTCGAATATGTCATTAAATGCCATTTAAATATTTTGTTTTCAAAGAAAATTGTGTTGTTATGTCATAACAAATTTTATAACTCCTTTTTATCAAAGGGGGAAAAAATAAATATATATATATATAAATAACACGTACTTACCTAAATTCCTTTCTTAATCATTCTTCAAATGCATTTAATCAATATATTTTGATTGCGATAAAATTAAAGTTTTAAAATAACTTTTTTAGATATTTTTATACAAAAACTGATAAAATTGTTGTTTCACTCTCCGATCAAACAACAAAGTGACGTCATTACGACGTTGTTAAATTTTGTGTAATTATCGTTGCGCCACCTGACGACAATGAAATAACTTATCGTTTGGTCTTAACGATTTTCCTGTNACATGTTTTTATATAATATACGTGTCGAAATTCCCCCCACTGAAGGGAGATGGTTAGGATTAAGGCTTACCGTAAAGAACTCTGCTTCTATTTATACTATTTTAGATGCGGTTTTTTGCGTTTTAATAGGGTACGTCAACAGAATGTACACTAAGAAGAAATTTTTCGAAAAATTCCCCCCCACGGGGAAGTGTTATAAATTTATAATAGATACATTTTGAGCCACAACAACGTATGACGGGGTCTGCTAGTAAACTATAAAAAAAATGTTAGTGCGAATCCCATCTGTATATGAATATTCGAAAATAACTTTTAAGTGTAATAAATTTAAAAATATCAAGAATAAAATAAAAATTATAGTTTTGTATTTAAAAAAAATTACATTAAAACCAACGGAATTCGAAATACCAACCCATAGAGTCACCACCAAGTCACCGACCACACTACAAATAATGGAAATTCTAAAGGTTTTAAGCGGTTTGCTATTTTCAACTTCAATTTTCTCCTTTAGTTTTGAGTATTGCACCTTAATGTTCGGCGAAAGTCAGTTGTTAAGGATGCATTACCTCACTGAGTTTAATCAAAATCGGTGACCCAACGTCATGCCACCCCCTCGTAAGTACTCGTATGTACATAATGGTTCTCATAGTTAATATGTTCATTTCATAGATACGTATATTTGAGATAACAATAAATATGTGTAAACTAATTTTTATGTCGGATATACAGTATATACGAGTGATACAATTAAATTCTTCTACAGGAGTGAGTAGAAAAGAGAGCAAGTTGCCAACATTACAGAAGAGAATTATTGTATTTCCCCTTGAAATTATCGTATTTCACTTAAAATTATTGTACACCCATCTCAATACGGATAGACATTTAAACTGTCTATCCGTAGAAATATAAGCAAGATTCCCCTATATCTTATACCCCATTTTACATATCCTTATCAAAAATAAATCTCAAAATTATTTCGACTGCATATAAATAAATGATTGAAGTTTACAATCGAAGCAACAATAATTTCATTGTTTAAAAAATCCATTCTTAAAATTTGACATACGAAGTTTTACTTATTATTATTTATTATACATTAATTACTTTTCATTCCAAAAATGGGAACAATTTTATCATCTCAAAAACCAAAACGCAAAGTCAAGCCCGTGCCAATGATTATCAATCGCAAAAAGAGAAGAAGGCTTACCGTAAAGAACTCTGCTTCTATTTATACTATTTTAGATGCGGTTTTTTGCGTTTTAATAGGGTACGTCAACAGAATGTACACTAAGAAGAAATTTTGGGAAAAATTCCCCCCACGGGGAAGTGTTANCCTATATCTTATACCCCATTTTACATATCCTTATCAAAAATAAATCTCAAAATTATTTCGACTGCATATAAATAAATGATTGAAGTTTACAATCGAAGCAACAATAATTTCATTGTTTAAAAAATTCATTCTTAAAATTTGACATACGAAGTTTTACTTATTATTATTTATTATACATTAATTACTTTTCATTCCAAAAATGGGAACAATTTTATCATCTCAAAAACCAAAACGCAAAGTCAAGCCCGTGCCAATGATTATCAATCGCAAAAAGAGAAGAGGCGCTGAACCTGCCATTAAGTTGCCTGAAGTAAAACCAAATAAAAACTGTCGTTTAAAATTATTAAGACTGGAAAGAATTCAAGATTATTTATTAATGGAAGAAGAATTTCTTATGAATCAAAGAATATTTAAACATCGTGAGAGATCTAAACGTGAAACTTCAAAAGTTTCCGAATTGAGAGGATCTCCAATGATTGTAGCTACTCTACAAGAATTATTCGAAGATGATTTTGCTATCGTCGCAACATCAGCTGGAGACGAACATTTTGTTCCGATTTTATCTTTCGTAGATAAAACCCAATTAGAATTAAAATGTAAGGTTTTACTCAATCATGAAAATTATGCCGTTGTAGGGATCCTTCAAGACGATGCTCGACCATTTGTATCCATAATGAAACTGGATAAGGCTCCTCTTCAATCATACGCCGATATTGGAGGCCTTGAAACACAAATACGAGAAGTTAAAGAATCTGTCGAATATCCTTTAACTCATCCAGAACTTTATGAGGAAATGGGCATTTTGTCTCCTAAAGGTGTCATCTTGTATGGTCCTCCGGGATCGGGTAAAACGTTATTAGTCAAGGCAGTCGCTAATCAAACTTCAGCAACGTTTTTAAGAGTAACGGGATCAGAATTGATACAAAAATATCGTGGAGATGGTCCAAAATTAGTTCGAGAATTATTTAGAGTAGCAGAAGAATATTCTCCTTCTATCGTTTTCATAGACGAGGTCGATGCTGTTGGAGAAAAGCGATTCGATTCCGTTTCGAGTGGAGAAAATGAAGTACAACGAACATTACTAGAATTATTAAATCAGTTAGACGGTTTCGATTCTAGAGGAGACATTAAAATAATAATGGCAACTAACAGAATCGAATCCTTAGATCCAGCATTAATAAGACCCGGAAGAATCGATAGAAAAATTGAATTTTTCTTACCAGATGCTGGAGCTAAAAGAGAAATATTTCAAATACATACGGCTAGGATGAATTTAAAAGAAGACATTAATATTGACGATGTATTATCATCTAAAGAAGAAGACTTTTCAGGTGCGGACATCAAAGCTCTATGCACCGAAGCAGGTCTTCTGGCATTGAGAGAGAGAAGAATGAAAATAATTAAAAATGATTTCATTAAGGCAAAAGAAAAAATTCTTTATCAAAAAGAAGAGAAAATCTTAGAAGGATTGTATTTATAAAAATAAAAATTAAATCATATAAAATATCGTGAGAATCGGACGACGGGAAGGTGTCCCGCTCACGGGGTCAGTCGATGGCAATTTAGGAGGGCAAAAATCGAATGGAAGGTCGCAGATAAGTCGATAAGATATTGGCCGTGTACGAGTAAACATACATATTTAAGATATTATACAAATTTAATAAAAATACTATTCTAACGGTTACAAATAATAAGAATAATAATAATACTTCTAAACTGAAGTTCTAGAAGGCGGTTAGCGGGGTTACGCCGCACGTACTTTCGACAAAGGAAAGGCTCTAATCCCTGTTAGTATTTATCCTTAACTAGTCCTAATCCACCTAAGAGGAAAGAGAGAGTTCTACTTACTGAGTTATAAATTACTTCGCTAATCGTTCGTCTTCGGCGGTCAGCTGCAGGGTGGAAGTTGACCAGTCGTTCTCTGATGTCTTGAAGACTGTCCCGATAACGGATCGTGAGCCCTCTTTATACCAAATTCGAGGGGGTGAGAACTGTCATACTATTAATGATTCATACGCACACCTGTTAATGTGTTGATGTCTGGATCTAGCTAGTACGGACCGTCACCGATGTATTCTTTGGTCGGATTGTTGACATTGGTCAACCAAAGGTGAAATTTTATGATATAAATTCCTACGAATTTGACAGTTCTCTTCCGTATATTTTGACAATATCTTCTCAGATTTGACAACAATCTCTAGATTGTTTATATTAAATATTGTATTAGTCGACGGGAGAGGCAATTATTATCATATTGTTTTGGTTATCGTGCAGGACCCTTTGTCTCGAATTTTTCGTGTTGTACTTGAATTGACGTCATTGAACTCACTCGTGTTACTATGACTCACATAATCGGTAGTCTCGAGTTAGACCCATCGAGCGAACTCAAAAGGGGAGCGGAGGTAGGTCCATTATTCACTTGTTTACGTGTATCGTTAGGCATGATGGGATTATTTACAATGCATCTGGGTTTGCGACTATAATGATTCGACCAATAAACAAGTTGTAACAAGTTGTAAACAAATCAACGTGAATTCGTTTACACGTGTTATAGTTAAAAGTTTTGTCTTATAGCAATATAGTACGCAGAAACGAAATGGAAACCTCCAATGTTTTATTTTAAAAAAAGAAGCGAAGAACAAAAAGAACTATTTGAAACATATATAGAAAATAATAAGAAAATGATCAGTGGAAAATTCGACAACGAATTTACAAGAAAAAGACAATTTGATTTGTGGAGAGAATTACAGTAGTTGAAAAATTAATTGTGTATTAGTGCAAAAAATCCGTTGTATAATGGAAAAAGTATTTTAATTTAATCCTTTCTTCGTATAGTTTTCTTCTTCGATCTATTTCTTAAATTGTTTTGTCTATTAAGATTATTTATTAATCAGAACTTAACACTTTTGATTAATAAATAATCGTAATATAGTGTATAATATGCTCTTAATAATTTATACCTATAATTTACTATCATTTAATCCTCTTTTTCGATGAATTAGATCCTTCTTTTTATTTTTGGAAAAAATTTGCTGTATAATTTTATCAATTATGAATTAAAATTTTTTCTTATTAGTGTTGAATTGACACGAAAAGAAATGGCATCTACTCGTGGTCGAAAAATTTGTTGCCTTCTTAAACGACTCTTTCATCTCTTTCTAACGCTTCGATTGCGATCAGAATAGCGTATCTGTTAGCCATTTTCACTTTCGTGTAGTAATCTCACATGCTCGACTCAACGTGAGTAGCAACTCACATGTGAGATGGGAAAGCACGTGAGTTAAAATTCGAGACTACCGATTTGACGTCAGAGTGTGAGATGGTACCACGTGACACCTTAACACGTTGGGAGTTGTAACACGAAAAATTCGAGACTAGGGTCCCAGCAGGTGTCCGCAGACACGTGCCACGTGCAGCTAAAGGAGGGGAGTAACGCCGCTTATTAGTTTCTTTTAAACGTCTGTTCTTGCCTTGTTCATTTTATCGTTGATCGAATTTATTAGTATAGTCTGTGACATTTAACCCGAGGAGAGAGTTTCGATCGTTGATTGCAAACTATCCCATTTTTCTGTAATTACTAGGGTTAGGAGGAGAACGATACTGTTTTAAACAATACAAAAGAAGGTAGAAAGGGGTAGAATATCACAATATTATATAAGTATTAGTGATGTAACGAATATTCGGTTACTATTCGGTATTCGGCCTATTCGGACTATTTTTCGCTATTCGACCGAATACCGAATATTTAATCACTATTCGGCCGAATACCGAATACCTAAAAACAGGAGTAAGAAATAACAAAAACACAGTAAATTAATCATATTGGTATTTAGATTTATTGTTATTGGGTGAGTGTTGTTTGTTTATATTTATTTATAACTTATAACATGCACAAAATAAAAAAGAAAATAATATTAGTCACATGTATTCACAATTTATAATTACAAAGATCAGCACACGTACAGTACACACCTATTCGTTCGAGAATCGTCGCACATCTGAGGTCTGACCCTGCCTATCCTTCCTTTTAAGCGCTCTTTACTTTCTCTTTCCTCTATCGCTCTAGTCCATATAATACGCGCTCACGATACATTCGATTCGTCACTTTTCCGTCGTAGATTTCCCATTTTACAATTACGTGACTCATAGCCTGGTTATAATGGAGAAAAGAGACAGACAAAACGTCGGTATAAGTCACAGTTATGATTTCACAGATTCAAGACAGCCTGGGGCGGTATCATTACAAACATTTAGCTTTCGGAAGTCTATGACAATTGTTTGGCATTGACGGTCGGCGAATTTCGCGCCAATAAGCTGCCTCGAATTGTTCGATTATGTCATCAACTCAATTTAGTTGAGGTCATTTCATTGTGTCTGTCCGCTACAACTGTCAAGAATTAACGCGATTGGCGAAGCGTAGAGAGCAGGGTTCTTACCATAATGCGGTTTGCGTGCCAATTTTCGTACGTGCGTTAATCAAGCCGAATAGTTTGGCCGAATATTCGGCTATTCGGCCACGCTCCTGGCCGAATATTCGGTATTCGGCTTGAGGCCGAATATACTATTCGTTACAACACTAATAAGTACTTTCCCAGCTGTTATACAGAGGGAAAGAGGCTGTTATCTTTCTCATAGAAGTAAGTTGACGCTAAGATAAATTCTGTTAGAAATTATAGAAATGTTTACGGGATTTTCGAACGGATAGGTGATTCTATATTCAATCCCACATGGAAAAAAAAACGATTATAAAATTTATTTCATGGGCTAAACAACCGAACGGATTCCAAAGAAACTTCCTAAATGTACTCTTAAATCTATTCTCTTTATATAAAATACTTACTGTAGCTTAAAATTTTGACGACACTTGGGGGGAATAGAAACGGCGGAACTGGAAATCAATGAATCACGTCTGCCTTCAGGAATTAGGCGATTTACCTGTTTCGGACTCAAAGAATCGATGAATCATTGCAAAATTATTTATGTCATGAATTGGAAACAAGCGAGTGAAGCGAATTGAAACGTTTTCTGTAAACAAATTCCGTAAACATATTTAAAATTTCCATCTAGAATTTTATAAGTAAGAGTAAAATGAGATTTTCTTTAATAAACAAAGAAAAAAAATCACAATTTAAATTGTAACATAATTTTATGTAAATACACATCGAATTATCTTTTATGAGTACAATTTTGAATGAATAACGAGCTTCAATAAATTCGCTAAACAATTACTAAAAGAGAAAAATACATAAACGTTTATTTTGAAAATGCATTTAACATGTAAATTATTGAAATGTGAAAATGTATTATAAACAGTTTCAAAAGTTAATAATAGAATTTTTTTGAAATGTGTTGAATGCAGAACTAATATTTTGAGCTAAGTGAAAACTTTTGCAGGATTTTTTTTCTTCCATTAAACTTCTTAGTTCCAGCAAAATGGAAAATGCACTATAGAGAGCTTTGGTAACCTAAAAATATAGTAATTAAGTTATCTGTATATATATATTTATATATTGATATATTGAAACATTACAAACTTTCAAAGGAAATGTTCTCGAAAGAGTAAAAAATCCTCCACAAGAAAATCCAAATTCTTTGTTAAAAAACAACTTCATAAAACACAACATCTGAAATTAATTTTATAAATATTATAAGAGAAAATGCTTTAATGTAATTTCTTCAATAATTAATATATAGGCCTACCTTTAATTTCATTTGAATAGGCAAAGAAGAGATCGAGAATTTTCTTATTTCTTGATTACATCCATAAAACTATGTAATTAAATAGAATAAAAATAATTAATGTTGTGGAGTACTTCATATTATGTAATTTTAAAACGTTGTGGGGGGCACGATTACATACAAGCCTTGACCACGCGGAACATGAAAAATAGGCAGTATACTGATATATGTTAAAAACTGACCTTTGTTGGTGACTATCTCGCGAAGGGTCGCGTGTACAGGTATGATTCCATTGACTTTTCTGTTCGTACAAGTGGTCTACAATTGGGAGGGCGAAAAACCCCTCATTCGGAGCTTGAATCTTATCCTCCAACATCAGTTTTGCCTTGATTACAAATTCCTTAATATGATATCGCTCCACCCCTCATATAGCCTCAGCCCAACATTGTTATTTATTCTATCATCTTCAGGTACTTTCAAGATTTCAATATTTTCTTGTACTTTTCTTTTTATTTGATTATTTTCTGTCAGTATGAATTTAATACAATTTTTTATACTTTCACAACCTTCTTTATTACAATGTTGTGCCACTGACGACGAAATTAAATAATTTTTAATGGCATATACAATATATATTCTTTAATTCTTGTATTTAATGGTCTTGATAGATACTGTATGGATGTATGTAGGTCTTTGTGCCCGAAATGTATTCTACTAAAATTTAATTGTGGTTAATTAAAAGCAAATTATTCTATTTTGCTCCAGTCATTCCCTAATGTGATAAGCCCTCCAATTTATTACGCTAAATAATTTAATCTTAATTAATATTAGATTAATATAACAATTTTTAAAGTACTCCTATAAGAAACAAAGATAATTTATGATAGACAGAAATAAGTATTGTAATTAATAAAAATTTCTTACTTGAATAAAAAGTTTTGATATTTCATACGAAATGTAAAACAAAGTAAGAGACACGATAACGGTAGCTGGAATTAGAAGATATTTCAGAAACAGAATTGATGATCCTCCAATTGTTACATTATAAATGCACAAGCATAATGCATAAATACTGGCAAAATAGCCGATGAATATACAATTTTCTAAAGTATAATTTATGTGGTTTAATAATCGATAGACCGCTTCGTGATTCTTCATGTTTCGCTGCATCTTTCGATGATCCATCATTTCTATTGCATTTTCGATAGCTTCCCGTATTACTGACATCTTTGTTTTAATCAAATATAAAATCATATTAACTTGCATTACTAAGAATATGATTAGGTTGATTTCAAATATGGTATTTAAAGCATTCAGAGATCCACATAAAAATGGAGTGATGTTTTCGTAATCGTGGCGCAAGAAGTGTTCCAACAAAAACGTGATGGGAAATATCAAAATGATAGAAAAATGAATGGAACCCCATAATATAATAATTTTTCTTTGATATCTTATTGCTTGGCAGTATTCTTCAAAATCGAGAGGAATATTTAATGATAAAGTTTTATTCTTCAGAATAACAGAAATGAAGAAACAAGAGAATGAAATTATAGAAAATAAGCTTGCAAAGAAGACTGTAGCTTGTTGAGAAGCATGATCATTCAGACATCCAATCTGTCTTCCTTTTAACTTATAAAAGATTTCCATTGCTTTTGAAAAACCGTGAACGAAGAAAATTAACTGCACGAAAGCCGAATATATCTTCAATGCATAAGTTTTTAAATTAGATTTTTTATTTTCGCACGACTCTAATATATCTAGTCCGACAGTTTTAAGCAGAGAAAATATTGGACGAAGCAAACAGTTTAAGCAGAAACTTTCCCTCATTATTCCGATTGAAATGGTTGAATTTGCGTGCATATTATAGTATTAGACTGGGTTATAGCTAGCAGCAAAATGCTCGTCAAAATAGAAAGTTATTTTCAATATTGATTATCTTTAAAGACGATCAATGTTAATTTCTTAATAGGAGAAAATAAATGATTAATGTTCCTAAATCTATTACATTACATTTTCCGTTTAATTTCACACTAATTTCGCTATTTTATAAGAATATGCGTGTATAATGCTATAAACTTAATTACGTTAATCAAACAAATTTAATAAGTGGATCTATTTTAAAATTTTACGTCATTTTATTGATAATTATAGTAAATGCCTTTCATTAATATTATTTATTAAGGAAAAAGCTATCAGGTTAATGGAATATAATAGAACAATTTCTCCAATGTTAATACTGAGATACACGTGATATACATTCCTTTCAAAAAATGTTTTTCTTTATGAATATACTCTTTTGAATTAGCAGAATAATTAGGCCAATTCCAAATAATTATTATTTTATTTAAAGAATTTCTTATATTTTTAACTATTATAAAATAACAAAAAATTTAATTTTCAGGGTAGGGATGAATTTTATAAAAAAAATTGTAAATGCTAACAATGAGTAAAATCGTCATTAAGTCCGACTGTACTGGAAATTGTAACATAATTTTATGTAAATACACATCGAATTATCTTTTATGAGTACAATTTTGAATGACTAACGAGCTTCAATAAATTCGCTAAACAATTACTAAAAGAGAAAAATACATAAACGTTTATTTTGAAAATGCATTTAACATGTAAATTATTGAAATGTGAAAATGTATTATAAACAGTTTCAAAAGTTAATAATAGAATTTTTTTGAAATGTGTTGAATGCAGAACTAATATTTTGAGCTAAGTGAAAACTTTTGCAGGATTTTTTTTCTTCCATTAAACTTCTTAGTTCCAGCAAAATGGAAAATGCACTATAGAGAGCTTTGGTAACCTAAAAATATAGTAATTAAGTTATCTGTATATATATATTTATATATTGATATATTGAAACATTACAAACTTTCAAAGGAAATGTTCTCGAAAGAGTAAANAAAAAAAATTGTAAATGCTAACAATGAGTAAAATCGTCATTAAGTCCGACTGTACTGGAGATACACACGACCCCCATTATCTCCCCATCCCCTCGACCTTTAACCACCAAAATTTAGTAGCATCAATCCCTTTAATAAACAAACCTCCCTGCAAAATTTTAGAAATTTTTGATGAATAGCACGGGAGTTATTAACCTTCAAAGAGGGTGAACAAAAATCATGCCATACATAATAACATCCATACGTACAGAAATTATCCCCAAACTTTTTTCCATGTAAGACTCAACATGTGAATAAATTGCACACAGACTACAACTACAGTAAATTTTAAATGAAGCAATGTCGCCATGATAATAAATAGAAAAAATGAACATCGGCAAAGAAAAAAGACTTCTTCTCTACTTTGTGCCTTAAAATCGTTGCACGTACCGGTACTGTACATTAACTTGGCCAAAAGTTAGAACATCTTTAATCAGTATCAATGAAAGAAGTTTACGGCAATGGGTTTATAAGTTAATAAGGGGAGGGATGTCCCAATTTCGTGAGAGTTAAGCATGTCCTCGTAAATATCGCGTTTATAGAAAAATTATTAGAATTGGTTTGATCTATTTGGTCACAGCAACGCGAAACCTGAGCTATCTGCCAAGGGGATGCATCCCAGAAAGACTTTTATGTAAAGCTAGCTCCAATTAAAGTGTTACTAATGCGAAGAAAACCCGAAAAACTCCGTATGATCAGTCCGTTAGCCATGCCCAAACCCACGACCGATTACCGGTGTTCGGTGGTTTTATCCACTTGGTTACTGGAGGGTACTTATTAGGCTGTAATTTGAAAAAATTGTAGACCTATAAATTCCCACTGTAGTCTGTCTCTGTCCTTCTTTAATCTCGAGAACGGAGTAAAATAGATAAAAGTCAAGACCAGACATGGAAATCGTAAGAGAAAGGGGACCAGATTAACTATATATGAACTTCCGATTTGTACTGCAAGTCACGTTATTGCAATTCAAAAATTTTCTCCGAACGGAGTTAGATACATGACCGGCACGACTCTATTGCTAACAGGAAAAGTATGACATACAGAGGCAAAACACTACTACACTCCACACAGGCAAGTGCTATGTGCTTACCTGTCGCAGTAATGGCGTGTCTATTTCGCGCTAAATCATTGTCACAGTAATTCAGTAATTATATCCGTTTTTGTACGAAATATATTTAATCAATTATTGTGTTAATTTTTTCCAATAGATGACGCTACACGTAAAGTCAGCAACCAAATGTAGACAGAAATTAATCGATATATAGAAATCCAATTGATAATTTGGGGAGTGATGTACGACACAATCTAAGTTAGAAGTTTTTGAAAGTAACTGCCGTGTTTTATAGCAAATGGTCAAATGGCCTAGGCGTGCATAGCGAACAAACAAACATCCTCATTTATATCGAATAATTTATTTATTCCTGCAGATTTAAGTTTATTTTCATTGTATGTTTTCCTTATAAGTATGCTAGCATAGTGAGGATAAGTGTATTTTGCATGTAGACAATACTATGTAAAAGACAGGAGTGAATCATGCACTTTGAAGTTTAGATGTAAGAATTAACTGACTCATCTCCTCTGAGTGTAATAACATATCATAAAGTCCTGATGGAATCTACAAAAATGAGTTATTCGGAGGACAAAGGACCTCTTATTTATTATTTAAGTGAAAGTTATATCAACTTGTAAGGAGTTGATTCCGAACCATTTTATTTTGTTTGGGGATTATTTTTAGTTCGTTATTCTATTTATTTTGCGGTATTTTATTTCGCTAAGGGTAAACTACCGCGCCTGACCCACGCAAAATTCTACAACCCTAACTTCTGACAGCAACCCAGAAACGACATTTCGGGGGAGACTGCCACAGGAAGTTAAGAGAATGATCTCCTGCCCCAAATTGTCGCAAAAAGGCACAACGAAAAAATTATAAAAGATTAAATATAAGGAGGGCGATGACACGATTTAAAGAAAGATTACTAGAAGTAAAGAATGTTAGCCACTTAAGTATGTAAATAAGGTCGAATGGGCGTAATTATGTAACATTAGCGAGGTTAAAGCAAGGCTTTCAAGTTTCATAGACGACGCAGAAGTTTTTGGTGACGTTAGGCAAATTTAATTTGTAAGATTTCTTTGTGAATTTCCGATAGATTTCAATTTCATATTTCTGCTTGTCGATTTTATGGAGATAATTATAATTTAATTTTTACGTCCCCAAGTGTCGGGAAAGTTCTTATTTTAAAACTATTAAAACAATGTAATACGATATCACATGCGTGGAGGTACTTTTATGAAAAATTCGGGCAAAGTTAGCCTATATTAATTCACTCTGTACATCTTTAAAATGTATGTGGGTGACAGGATCATATAATTACGAGTTTTAGTTGTTCTACCGTTTGAATTCACTTGAAGACTGCTTGACCAGTGGCGAAGCGGTCTTCGTACCCTGACCACTGGTAGTTTGGTTGTGGGTTCGCGCCTCGCTCGGACGGGCTGGCCACGTGGAGTTTTTCGGGTTTTCTCCACGTTTGTAACGCCTAAATAGGGGCCAATTTCCCTTAAAAAGACCTTTTAGAAGGCATCCCCTTAAGCAGATCGCCCAAGTGTTGCGTTGCCATACCCAAACAAACAATTTACATTACGGATCATTCGAAATTTAACATTGTTTTTCCGAATAGTATCGTTCTAACGTTCCAATCTAAAATTCGTTAAAAAAAAAAAACCTGATGTAAACCTTTGTGAAGGCCGAAAACGTTCGGAGTTTTCATTAATTTGTTACAGGTATTTAAAGATTTAAAGTTGTTGGTTTTTGGACTTATTGCCCGTATAAAGTTCAGGCCTGGCACTAACCGAACCCTTGTTATGTAACTCTCTTAGGAAATTATCCTGGCTCTCGATAGAAATAGATAAGGCGTTATAAACTTTCAAACAAGCTGAGTTTACAATGGCTTTCTGCAATCACTCGTAAATAAGTTTTTAATTGTTGTAAATTAGTTTTCTTGACTAGCATTATCTAATGCAGTGTTTTTCAACCTGTGGGTCGCGACCCCCTTGGGGGTCACCAAGCCTTACACGGGGGGCCGCGGGTAAAAGGAAAAGACAAGTGTTTGTAGGTTCTACACTACAATAAAAAAACTACAATTTCAGTGAGAAGGCTGTGCCTGTTTATTTTTTAATAATTTGTCAAAACGTGGTTTTATTTTTGAGACGCAAACAACTAAATCATTTTCTAATTGAAGCCTATTTCTCTTTTTAGTTTGTATGTCCATCATTGAAGAGAATGTTAATTCACATAGGTAAGAAGTGGCGAATGGCACTAATAATTTTAAAGCCTCTCTTGCCAGTTCTGGATACATTTGTTTTATTTTCATCCAGAAGACGTCAATATTTTGCGAATGAAATTCCATTTTAAGCATGCCGTCAGCAGCTAAATCTATAAGATTTTCTTTCATCTTCGTGGTTAGATCAGCCAGTTGTACTGACATATCTATGAAAGGATTTAATATCCATTTATGCCCATAGTTAGCTTCAGAGTCCAGTTTTGGAAAGTAAGTTAATAGTTTCTCTTCCAAATTATGCAAGCTCTGTATCATGCAAGGGATGTGAGAACTTACTACCAACAATTGATCCATTGCCGTTTCTTCGACAATCTTCTGAACACAAGGGAAAGACTCATATATATTTTTTTGCAAAGACGTTGACCACAAACGAAGTTTTGCGAAGAATCCTTTGATTTTATCTTTAGCTGTCAGAATGTTTTCTTCTCTCCCTTGGAGTTTCTTGTTTAAAATATTCAGGTGGCTAAAAAGATCAGCAAGAAATGCTAATTTTAGGAGCCAAACAGGGTCACATAAATAATTCGCATATTCAGATTTAGCACCTTGTAAAAACATTAACAATTCAGCTTTCAGTTCTAAAACTCTTGTCAATACCTTTCCTTTGGATAGCCACCTGACCTCTGTATGATAAAGGAGATTTGGATGGAGCGAACCCATGTCTTCACAAATGATTCTGAATAGTCGGGTTTGTAAGGCTTTACCTTTAATAGAATTCACAATTTTGATCACCTCTTTAAGAACTTCATTTAAATCAGAAGGTAAAACCTTGGCTACCAGAGCATGTCGATGAAGAAAGCAGTGTGTCCATGAGATATTAGGCATTATTGATTTTAATTTTGCAACGAGTCCGCTTTTTTGTCCAGTCATAGATTTAGCGCCATCGCTACAAATGGCAATACATTTTGTCCAATCAATCTTGTAGTTGCGAGTGCTTTCTAAAAATATGTCGTACAAACACTGACGTGTGGTGTTTGAAGAAAGTGCTTTGCAAAATAAAATGTCTTCTGTGATACTTTCATCTGCTTCAAAGCGCACAAATACTACAAACTGTGCACAATCTGAAACATCAGTAGATTCGTCAAACTGCAAAGCAAAATGTGGGCTCTTCTTTAATTTCTCGACTACTTGTTCTCGAATGTAACTGGCCATATCGTTTATTCTGCGTTCAATAGTATTGTCAGAAAGTGGTATGCTTTTTAGCTTGCTTGCCTCCTGCCTACCTAACATAATTTCAACCATATCTAGGGCTGCTGGCAAAATAAGATTTTCGGCATCTGTATGTGGCTTTTCTGCTTTAGCGACTCGGTATTCAACTCTGTAACTCGCTAATAATGCGTTTTCGTTGACACTGGATACCTAAAAACAGACAAAAAATCAAAAAAACAAATAAATAATTAAGCAAAATAAATATTATTTTTAATCACCAAATAACAATACTATTTTATTACCTGAATCATAGTATTTTGCTGAAGGTTAAGGGTTTTCAGCTTACATTCAAAGAAATCCAGCGGTTTATCAGCTTCTTTGGGATGTTTGGCTGAAAGGTGACGCATAAGCTTTGATGGTTTCATACTCTCACGTGATAATACATCGCCGCAAATTACACATTGAGATTTATTATTCATGACAGTAAATTCGTATTTCAAGTAATTGTCGTAGTAATGTCTATTTGTTTTCGGTTTTGATTCACTTCTGTCACTGCCACTTGTACCAGACGTGGAGGGCTGCGATCTTTTGAGAAATTTATCCATTTTATGCTCTTGCGTAGCAAAGCGCAAAGACAATACAATCACGTCTGTACTTGTTGGCGCATTCGCCTCCAGTGCCCCCGTGGCAAAGTTACTATTTGCAGGGCTCTTGTGACTTATTTGCAGAGCTCTTGTGACTTATTTGCAGAGTACAATTGGTTTTTCGATTGATATTTAGGTCTCAATAGAAAGAAAATTAAATACGTAGTTTTTAAAATCACTGGCATAGTTTTAATATGGATCTGGGGGGGTCGCCAAAATTTTTTAACTTGTAAAGGGGTCGCATATTCAAAAGGGTTGAAAAACACTGATCTAATGTATTTATCACAGTGTCAAAGAAGATTCAAACATGTGAATATAAACTGACTACTGACTAAGACGACAAACACTCACGAAGGGAAAAAAACAAAGAAATAAAGTTTAATTAATAAAGGAAATCAGATGGAGCACAATACACGAAGCAGGATGATAGTCATCATGAAAACAAGTACACGAAACCTTGTGCGTCTACAAAATAAATTTTTTTTACGCTCGTGGTTTTAGAATATTAAGAGCAAAACTTCGTTAACATTCATAAAAATTTGCCGCTTAATCCGTAAATTTTGATGCAAACCACGCAAAACGCAGTATTTTTGAGAAAATTGGGTCTTTCAGTTTATGATGGACGATGTATTTCTGTAGAGATAACGATCAGGGGCGGATCTACGTAGGGACTAATAGGGCTTAAGTCCTGGGGCCCGAAATGTCAAGGGCCCACAAAAATTGAATTATCATAAATTTTTAATACGTTTTCATTAACAATGAGCACTTATCGTATAGTAAAAAATAGTTAATAATGATAATATAATAATATTAATATTATAAATTATTATTTGTTTTATTGTAATCAATGTAACGTAATTGGTCAGTAATTAATCAATGTAAATATTTTTTAAATGTCTTATGTTTTTTATATAAGATATAAAGTTTGTCATTCAACACCATTTCATAAATAACATCAAAATCAGAGTTGAAATATATTTATTAAAATGAATTTTAAAACCCCAATTTAAAGATTCTTAATCTAACAAAAAAAAAAAAAAAAAAAAAAAAAAAAAAAAAAAAAAAAAAAAAAAAAAAAAAAAAAAAAAAAAAAAAAAAAAAAAAAAAAAAAAAAAAAAAAAAAAAAAAAAAAAAAAAAAAAAAAAAAAAAAAAAAAAAAAAAAAAAAAAAAAAAAAAAAAAAAAAAAAAAAAAAAAAAAAAAAAAAAAAAAAAAAAAAAAAAAAAAAAAAAAAAAAAAAAAAAAAAAAAAAAAAAAAAAAAAAAAAAAAAAAAAAAAAAAAAAAAAAAAAAAAAAAAAAAAAAAAAAAAAAAAAAAAAAAAAAAAAAAAAAAAAAAAAAAAAAAAAAAAAAAAAAAAAAAAAAAAAAAAAAAAAAAAAAAAAAAAAAAAAAAAAAAAAAAAAAAAAAAAAAAAAAAAAAAAAAAAAAAAAAAAAAAAAAAAAAAAAAAAAAAAAAAAAAAAAAAAAAAAAAAAAAAAAAAAAAAAAAAAAAAAAAAAAAAAAAAAAAAAAAAAAAAAAAAAAAAAAAAAAAAAAAAAAAAAAAAAAAAAAAAAAAAAAAAAAAAAAAAAAAAAAAAAAAAAAAAAAAAAANTACAGTGGTACCTCAGGATACGAAATTAATCCGTTCCGAAACTGAGATCGTATCATGAAAATGTCGTAAGGTGGATCTTTATAAATTTATAATAGAATTGTGTTGAAATGCATTGAATGCAGTACTGATATTTCGAGCCAAGTAAAAATTTCTACAAGATACTTTTTCTTCCATTAAACTTCTTAGTTCCAACAAGAGAGAAAATGCACTGAAGAGAGATTTAATAACCTAAAAAGACAATAATAAAGTTAATTTCAAAATACACTATATAAAAATATTATATAAAAAGTTACGAACTCGTAAGGGAAATGCTCTCGAAAGAGTAAAGAATCCTCCACAAGAAAATCCAATTTCTTTGTTATAAAACAGCTTCATGAAACACAACATCTAAAATAAATATCTGTGATTATTAGGGAAAGATAATCTTTCATAAAATTTAACTTGACATACGAAATATACCTTTAATTTCGTTTGAATGGGCAAATAAGAAATTGAGAATTTTCTTACTTCTTGATTTGATCCATAGAACTACATAATTTAAATACAATAAAACATGTTCTATATTATTGATAACTTTCAATTAGCTCCATAAAGATAGAAGGGAATATATTATAATATAATATATAAATAATAGCAAGTATTTAATTAAAAAGAAATATCTTACCAAGATAAAAAGTCGTGAAATTCCATAGGAAAGATATATCAAAGTAAGAGATACGCCTATGATGATTGGAATTAAAAAATATTTCATAATTAGAATTTCTGATCCTCCAATTGTTACATTATAAATGCACAAACACAATGAGTAAATACTCGAGAAGTAGCTGATGAATATACAATTTTCAAAAGTATGATTTATGTGGTTTAAGAATCGATATACCGCTTCGTGATTCTTCATGTTTCGCTGAATCTTTCGATGATCCATCACTTTTATTGCATTTTCGGTAGCTTCTAGTATTTTCGACATCTTCATTTGAATCAAATATAAAATGACATTGACTATCATTATTAAAAACATGATTAGATTGATTGCAAATATACTATATAAAGCATAAAGAGATCCACAGACAAAACGAGTAATATTGTTTTTACCAGAGTGAAAGAGATATGCCAATAATAATAATATTGGAATTACAGAAATAGTAAAAAAATGGATGGTGCCCCAACACATAATAATTATTCTTTGAAATTTCATTACTTGACAGAATTCTTTAATATTGACAGGAATATTTATTGATAGTTTTTTATTTTTCAAAAAAACAGAAATTAAGAAACAACAGTTTGAAATAGTGAAAAATAAACTACCGAAAAAGACTGTACCTTGTTGAGAAGAATGGTCTTTTAGGCATCCAGTTTGAAATCCTTTTAATTTATAAAATATTTCTATTGCTTTGGAAGAAGCAGAAATGAAGAAAATTAATTGCACGAATACCAAATATATTTTCAATAGTCGAGATTTTACATCACATTGTATACTTTTGCACGAAGATAATATATCCAAACCGATGGTTTTCAGTAGAGAAAATGAGGGAAGAAATAAACAATTCAAACATAATTGTTCTTTCATTATTTCGAACGAAACGTTTGAATTCGAATTCATTTTCCTGTATTGAATTGGGCTACTCTGAAATAAATGTTTTTTAATGAAAGAATATAAATTTTTAACGGTTGAGTATCGAGATCAGATGGCTTCGGATAAAGTAACTAATTTACAGCTGAGGGGATCAACGTTTGTATACAATTCAGTTCCTTCTTTCAGTATCGAGGCGTCTTTCTTCACGTTTCTTTCCTTTCTAGAATGTATTAAGAATAAACCTCAGCCGAATTTTATGGATGAAAATTGAATTCGAGCATTTATGTAATCTGTGAGTTATGATATAACACTAATTGACTATACTTAAAAGGTATGGCAGTAAATCTAAATTATAATTCATTAGCTTTGTTTACATAATTAGAAGATAAACCATTAAAATTCTTACATTCACTTTATTTTCTGATAGCAATTACATAAATCGATTAAATTTATTAATTTAGGACTATTCTTTAAGCATTTCTGATATTTAACTATTCAGTAATTTGTTCTAATTTATTTTCCATTAGGATTGTTTATTCTGCAAACAAAATCAATTTTATTTAATGCGATCAAGAAAGACTATGTTTAATGCACTGATTAACACTAATAGCACACGAAAAGATAGCTTAAAAATATCTAGGCCTATTTATCCGAAGTAAATGATAACTATAACCGAATTATGAAAACAATAAGCGAACTTTTATAAGTATATTTTAAAACATATGTTTAATTATAGAACACTCAAATTTTTATAACATTAAACTGATAATATACGTGGTTACAACTAGGATATCATTCGTTGTTTTCAACGTCTGCATATTGAACTGAGAGAGATTTACGCTTAAATATATACAGTGGTACCTCAGGATACGAAATTAATCCGTTCCGAAACTGAGATCGTATCATGAAAATGTCGTAAGGTGGATCATCTTTTCCCATACGATTACATGTAAAACCAAATAATTCGTTCCAACGCGAAGAACATACTCAAATTAAAGCCAAGTAATACATTTAAAAAAATAACTGTAGTAAGAAAAACAAATGAAAAATGCGAACTAATGTAACGTCGTATGGTGTGTTTTTGTTCGTATCGTGGAGCAAAAATATGTTCGAATTTCATGTCGTATTCTGAAAATTTCGTATGCTGGGGCGTTCGTAACCTGAGATACCACTGTAGTTTATTTATTGTTTTTCTTTTTTCACTCGCTTTCTTTTCTTTGTATATTCAATAAAACTTATGTACTGCTACATTACTACATACTAAAAACTACACATAAGTTATATTAAAATACAGTTTACTCCCGATTATTCGGACTAATAACGGGGACATACACGGGAAATCGAAACACACAAATAATTCCACACGTTTCTTGGAAAGGAATGAAGTCTAAATACTATCATCTGTTGTTATTAAATACACAACGTCTTCAATATATGTCAAGCTATTTAAGTTCCTAAAACGCGTCGTGAACAAAATGGCGTACATCGAATATCAATTTCACACAGAAATATATTATGTGAGAGATATGATACATTGCAGACATTGCAGACCAACTAAAAACAATTTATGTGTCTAGTGTACAATAACAAATTGTTTATATGGAAGTGTCTTTACTTGTTCTACTTTCAAAACCTAGTATAACAAGGTGACGGCCGGATGTTTGAATGGTTAAAACTTCGGTCTACCTATCTGACATCGAATCCGAGCTGTTGAAGAACCCAGGGCGATCTGTATCTGGTGTGTCAAGCAGTGGCGTGCCGTGATAATAGGGATCTGTGTTTCTGTAAGAAGCCGACTTCCAGGGGCAATCAGTTACTTGCGCGTCAGTGATGGTCTAGAGTCCATTCGTATGTGGGTGGTGGCGGAGGAGACAACGATGACAAGTATCTAACAAAAACCGTTTATTTTAACATAAAATAAACTTACACTATGTACAAAATAGTTTGCTTTAAGACAATCAGTTGTTCGGAAGTCCTGACGTCGGTGAGGTTCTTTGATCGTCGATCGAAGGTGGCCCTGGGGCAGTGGCGTTGACAAGTCCGAAAGACAGATGGAGAGACTTCGTCTGTTGGTGTCGGCAACACCGTCTAAGTCCGAAGTGGCACGGTTACAGGTTGGCACAATAGAGGAGAAACTGCTTATTTTTTGCGCGTTGACACACGGTGTTTTGGTAATTCGGAACGTTAACTAACCAAGTGAGAGGTGTCCTTGATTGTCGAGGATTATATTAATCTCTGTTCCTTCTTTCCTCAATTTTGATTGGTCATTCTCCCTCAATTACGCTTCCCGAGTGACTGATCCCTCTTTACGAAGCGTAACGGAAGCGCGAGAAGGGTCAAAATCGAAGATGAATTCGATCTTCCAACGATCATAGGATGACTTCCTTCCGCGATTTATGGTTTTTTGCATCGCAGTTTGATATAAACAAATAGCTGTTTGACTACAAACGATTTTTCCTTTTTTTTTAAACTAATAAATTTTTCTCTAAATTAACCGCTTTTTGGCGTCTTTCGTAAAGGTTCAGACCTGTCCGGAACCACATATTTCCATTAAAATTTTAAACAAATACAGGAAATGACAAAAATAAACAATTTACTTATTTTAATTCTAAAATACAAATAATACATACATAATACAAAATGACATGATACAAACAATAATAGAAAAACTTATGTTTTTTTTAATTTTCTATAAACTAACTCTATTTGGCGATTTTTTCCGCAAAGTCGTTAATTACTTAAGTCGTAAATTGGTTGTATTTTGAAGTTTAATTATGTGAAGCCATAAATCACTTAAAGCGCTAACGTGCAAGTCACGTGAGTTTTTGCGATTAAAACGTTACGGTTTTTATTTACGCCATTTTGATATTCCAGAGAATTTGTAACATAGTGAGTTTTTTTACCATTTTATTGTAAAATTAAAAGGTATTCATTCACTAAAAAAAAGTGTTTTTTTTTTATCTCTCCTGAAATTTGTTTTTTAGCATTGCACGCTTTATATAAAATATTATAACTACCAGAGGACGCCACTGGTTGGACCAGATGTCAAAGTACACGTGGTGAATAGGACATCTGCCCAACCTTCAACCTTAAGTCAAGTAAATACAATTTCTCTCATACAAATTTTATCTAATCACAGATTGTGATTTGGACAGAGGGCAGAAGATTTAGAACTGTGAGTAAAGAATATAATTTAATATTATTTAAATTATAATAAATATAATATGATTTACTATAATAAATAATATTTTACGTGTTATTTGTTCATAAATACAATATATATGTTTAACAATTCGTTTATTTTTATTTTAGAATGATCAGATCTGTAATGGCTACAATTGTAAAAGAAATTGTAAATACACCTTTAGCTCCTAAACCCATTGGACCATATAGGTTGGTATTTTTATTGGAAAACGATATTTTATTACTACATTACAATATATAAAATTATTTTATAGTTATTGTGGTCACCAGTTCGTGTGAAATTAATCATTACAAACAGGGCCACATACAATAAAAGATTAACATTTATTCTATATATGAATTATGGCACGACTGTACAGGTTAAAACACAGAACAATACTACATGCGTCTGCAAGGTCCAAATCCAAAAAGGAATGTGTGATGTCATAGGTCAGGTTTGTTCAGTTCAGGGGTTCCCCCTTGTGGCGACTTTGGGGTTTATTGCCAAAGCTGTCGCCACAGTTATATAAAACACCAAAACTTTAATAAATATTTAAACAAAGCTACAGCTTACAAGTAACAAGACTAACTTCATTACTGTTGTTTGTTATGGTAATGCAACACTTGGGCGATCTGCCTGGGGTGATACCTTCTGGGAGGTCTTTTAAGGGAAACTGGCCCCTATTTAGGTGTTATAGATGTGGAGAAAACCTGAAAAACTCCATGTGGCCAGCCCATCCGGGCAAGGCGCGAACCCATGACCGAACTCCTAGTGTTCAGGGTACGAAGACCACTTGGCCACTGGTGGGCTAACTTCATTACTTTGTAACAATAGTAAGAATAAGCTTTCTGCTATTGCTGCTATCATATATTAAACAGTAGTAATATAAAACTAAAATTTCTATAGAATTGTAAGTTTGCCGATGTTAAAGGGGGAGACAGTTCATCTTGCGTCAGAATGAGCCTAAGGGAAACAGCGTATGTGGATGGTGGTGAAGGAGGCAAATGAAGAACAAAGTGTTTTACAAAAGAAAACCCGTTTATTTGTTCGAATTCATGCTTACATCGATATTGGACAATTCCAAATCTTGGTGCTCCTGTGAACGGCAAAACTTCGGTTGATCGGTCGCAGCCCGGGTGGACGAGAAGGATCACTGGACGATACACATGTTTGTTGTTAAGCTGCGGCGTCCTGTGTGATTGGCGGTTGCACAACACAATCTAAATCACAACGGTAGGCTTAATCCAGAGGGGACTCTTCTTCGATCTTGAAGTTCCGATTTTTATAGTTTTTTCCCCACTATTCACATTTTGGATTGGTCCCTCGTCCCATTCCTCGCTTCCCTATTGGTCTTTCCTTTGTCTCCAGGTGCAAGACGAAACCTTTTCGGGTCGCGGGAAAGGTCCAATTCGAGGTGTCCATCTGATACCTTTGTCGACTCTGCTCAGTGACTGTTTATAAAACAATAACACCTGTACTCATAACTCAGGCCGTTGTTTACCATTTTTTGACATCTAAGAATTTAACGATCATTTTCACCTTTCATCTATCAAAAATTTCCCTTTTTTTTGTTCGTAAAGGTTTATCTTGGCGAACATTTTATAGACACACGAATCAATGATTTACCTATTTATGAGCGCTCGTATTAGAGTTTTGTCTTCCGCTAAGACCGTGACAGATAGTTTGACATATACTCGATCAGTTCCGAGTCTCGTTGTTTACATCTTGTGTCGCGCAAGAATGTCACGGTTTATTCGAGTTTGAACCTCGTCTGGGAACTCACAGAATGGAGTTAATGTGATTCCAATGTAGACTACTTGTCTGGTTTTTGGTTAAATTTATTTATATTAGCTTTAGTTTATTATGATCATTATCCAACATATTTCTATTTTTCTAATAATTTTATGTCGACAGAATGACTGGGGCAGTTAAGGAGATAATTATCATTCTGGGAACCTGGGTCCAAATCTGGGTGAACAACCCCATGCAATTCTGAATATGTTGGGCCTAGTCTCATTGTGGCCCTAGTTTCCATATAGTGAGTATAGAAAAAATATCCTCTTAGTGCCCACCGGACAGAAAGAGTAAAAAATTTTATGTAAACTTCACTTTTTGTCATTGTTCTTTTCAATTGAATTATTTATTTCTTCAGATAGATCTAAATACAATAAATAAGCATTGCTGAATCAATTCTATTAATAAAATCCAATGTGTAAATATATTATTAGCTTTTACCTTTTGCATAATATGTCTTTTCAATTGGAGAAAGTTTGTAAGGAATAAAGATAAAATTGTAATAATGACTTCTATCCTAATTCTTGGATGTTAATCACCAATCTGTCATATCATCATTCAAATGCTTTAAGAGATGGGTGTATTCATTAAATTCGAAAGCTTAGTTACTTATGATGCCATCTATGTCTTTATTATCTATGTTTTCAATTTGAATTTTGGATTAATATTTAATATTGGTTTACTATGTTAGACTTAATTGATATTTTTTAGGGTAATGTTACTTATGAAAATGTTCAGGAAATAATAATGCAAGAAGAAACAATCTATGAAGATGATCTATTGATAGATTGTTAGATACGATTTTTATCAATTTTGTTGGTAGTTCAATAAAGATTTAAGATAATAGTGATATAGATAACATGAATTTTAATTTAAAATTTTCTTTGATTAATTTGGATTCAACAATTAAAGTTTATTTCAAATGTGTACAATATTCATAAAATTTTTGTTCATCAAGAAAAAACTTACTAATAAATTCAGTAAAAAGAGAATGCAAATATTTAATGAAAATTTATATCTCATTTTACATACATTTTGTTTATGTCCCTTTCTACTTTTCCATAAAATTTTTTCCATTTCCTAATCCAAATGAGAATTATTGCATTAGGAAAATTAATTAAGAAATCATTTACATTCAAAAATCACATTAAGCTATTTAAAGCAGTGGTTTCCAAAATGTGCATTACTGCCCCTCTGTGAGTAGTGAGTAAAGCTTGGGGGACAAAAAGAAGCAAGTAGGTGGCAGGGGCCACTGGAGGCAGGGTACTGAACAGTGACCATAAGCAAAGGTTGGAGTCACTAACAACCTTTTCCTTTCCTACATTAAAACAGGTAAGAAACATTGAGTTTAATGGTTTCCAGATGCAGAAAACAATGTATAGTAAGGACACAAAGTGTAATTTTCATAGAAAAACTTTCCTAAGAATATTTCCAAGCCTTTCTCAAACAAGGAAATATGGGTTAGGGGGCATTGGGTATAACTTTATGGAACCAAGGAGGCTGTGGCTCGAAAAGTTTGGGTATCACCAATTGAAAGTAATCAAGTATTTTAATTATTGACTTTTTTTTAATATATTCAACTTTAAATGTTATTAATACATCAAAGTTTTAATACAAATAAATTTTTCGTTAATTTTTTTCAGCCAAGCAGTAATCGCTGATCGTACAATGTATATATCTGGTCAAATTGGATTAGATCCATGTACTGGAAAACTTGTTAATGGAGGAGTAACTTCAGAAACTAAACAAGTATATTTCTTACATAATTTAGAATATAAGTAGAAATATTATAAATAAAACAGAAAGTTAGACAATACAATAATAGTTTTTTAGTAAACATTTAATAACCAATTGCATTCTCATTGAAGAAACAAATATAGAAGACAAAAATGTTTTGATGTAGACAGACAATAGGTATGTGACTGTTGAATAAATTTAAATGAGCAGTTTTATCAGAACAGAAATAAATATTACCTAAATTTTTACTGTAAATTTTTTAGCATGTATATAGTGATATAAATTATAATTTCATTCATATAGTGGTATCTATATACATGAATCTATATTTTTTAAAATTCTTACTTTATAGTAAGAATTTTAAAAATATTCCATCTAGCAAAAATATACATATATATGTTTTTGTTTATATCTTTGGTAGATGTGTACAATAGAAGAATTTATAATCTTTAATTGTTTTGACAACTTTTTAAATGTTTTGTAGAGAAACTGTACATAAAATTTAATTGCAAATTTTTCATATTTAATATATATACAGTATATATAAAAATAATCTCATGCTTGTTTTTATATCAATTCAAATTCTCAAAAACTTAAGTTATAAGAGAACAACATAATATTTTTCTTGGCTAAATATAGAATACAGTACTTATTTATGATATGGGTCATATTTTTGAGTAAATTTTACATAAGTTGAGAATATTTGATTTCATTTATATTTTTCTGGAAGTTAAATATTATCTTAATACAAATTTATATCTTCTACTAGATTTTAAATTATTATTTTAAAAATAAATTTGCTATTATATAGTACTAAAATTAGAAAAGTATTGTAAATCATATAAACTTTTTGCTATAACTCATTTAAATATTAATTTAAAAATGATTTTAATTTCATTTGTAATCATAAATTTTTAAAATTTATTTTGAAACAAACCAAGAAAAATGCTTATTGATATAATTTATAAGTAGAACTAAACACCCTAATTAACTTTATCTTATTCTATTTTGAATTTCTTTGACAAGTAAGCTCAAGGTGACTCATTAAATAAATCAAACATTTGTTCAAATTATATACAGTAGACCCCCCTATAACATGGTAGATACGTTCTGTGTTATATGAATTTGTGTTGTACAAGTCACTTAAATACATGAGCCAATCACAGCCCAGCACTTGTGCAGTTTAGGGGCTACAGCTGTTTGAAAGGTTTTCTTCCATAAAATGAATCAATTCTAGATTAATTTGACTCGAACGTTTCCAAAACACATATAATTTTTTGGGAATAATCCATATAAACTATGCTATAAACAAAACTTTGTAAGAATACTTACCAAGTGCACACCATTCAAAAATGCCATTGCTTAGCTTGTTTTCATCATGGACCGGCTTATCGAATGGTGGACGCGTTTCCTGATAAGTTATTCTTTCTGCGAAAAATTCACTGAACTTTAGATAACATAAAAATTATAAAATTAAAGTATTAGACTTACAGTAGCTAATTTATGTATTGTACAGATGATAGTAAACTCAACTTTCCCACCTAAATTCTCCATATATACATGTGGCACTGAACGGCGGCAAGTAGTTCAGCTGCTTGTCCACTATTGGTCCAGATTCAACCAATCCTGTCGCGACACAACAATCTGTCTCATTCTTTTACCATGTTATACGAACAGGATCACAATTCTTTTGTCGTGTTATACAAATTAGTGTTATATGAACCCATATTATAGGGGGGTCTACTGTACTTTTCACTATATGATGCTTGGTTCTATTTATAAAATATTTTATTAATAAAAGTATAATATATTGTATAGTACTGATCTGTGTAATTGTTCGTAATTGTTTGTTTGAAATAATCCACAACAATCAATATTTTATACTTTTTTTAAAATTTAATCTTTTACAGTAGTTAAAATAAGATCATTTCAACATAATTACTTGGAATGCCGAGAAGTCAGACAGTTGAATTTTTAGATAAACTGCTATAAATTCTATATGGAATCTTCAATTTGATCCTAATACAGCTATAAATTATGTGAAAAATAAATTTAGATAATATTTATTTATTTGATATAAAATTCATCTGTGAAGGATGAAACAAATTATACACTAGATAATAGAAACATAATTTATCAACTCTAGGTCTTTTCAATTTATATATTAGCATTTTTATGAAAATGCATATCAAAGCAAATGCATTTACAAAATACTTTTAATCATTGCACAAATTTCAAGTATTGCACTTAGAAAGTTCTAGAGCAGTTTTTAAATTTCTTTGATTGGTAGCCTTAAATAACATTAACATTTATAGAATATCAGTTGAAGTAAAATATGTTATGTTAAGTTAATTTTTAACTTATCGTATGAAATATAATCTTATCAAATGTAAACTTATATATCTGCATTTTAAAGAATCTTTAAATATTGTGTAAAAAAATTAAAGCTGCATTTAATATTATCTATGCTTACATCAAAATAATCATTCTTAAATTAAATAAAAAGACATCTATTTATTTATTAAAGTAATAATTTTTAAAAATTTTAAAATCAGTTTTAGTTGTGTTCAAATTTCTGTATGAATCAATTTCCTATGATATGCAATTACTTGGATTAGTTTCACAATGCTTTGGTGTATTTTGATATTTCCATTTTAAAAATTATTAAATAAAAGATTTTAAATTTATGTACACACATTAATTACAGTAATTAATTAATAATGACTTTATAATTATTGCATTTCCAGAATTTAATATGTTAAAACATAATGTCTGATAGTAAATTATAAAGTTTAAAATTAATGATTTAAATAAAATTTTTGATTCATACATTTATAAAAATTTATGAAATTTGATAATTTTTATTCTATTATTTAGACTCCTCCTTCTATACAAATGAAGTCTAAATATTTGTCTTTAAATTGTGATATTATTGCTTGAAGAATATTGTATGCAATTACTGTTTATCCATTGATTATTTTAATTTTAATTAAACTTTCTATTTATTAAATTTTAGGCTCTTCAAAATTTAAGCAAAATACTTGAAGCTGCAGGTCTTTCATATAAGAATGGTAAGTATAATTTTTTAAATATAATTTATATAAATATTTTAATTCAACTGGTTGAGTATTTATACCTTACAAAGAAAATTCGTTTATTTGATAGACTGAGTTATTCATCATCATTTTTTTTTAATAGACACATATTATACATAGAAATATGTATACTTGGAACTGTATATAAAGTATTAATAATTATTATGAATAAACTGTTATATTACACTTTATTCATATTATTAATTAATATTTTTGGACAATCACGTTAACCCTGTTATAGTGATAAATATATTAATTGCACATTGATAAATCAATCATAAATACATATGCAAATTCAAAGTACAGTAGAGCAGTGATTATCTGAATCAATTGGGGAGTGGGGTTGTTCAAAAAATTGATTTTTCAGATAACCAATTATGTACAAAAAAATATATTAACCTATCCCATGTTGAAATTTATTCAAATCCTGGCACGTCCTTAAATACCCTCTCATGGTCGTGTCAGTGCTGCCAGCTAAAACACGCGCACCAACAAAATATTGGAGTAGCCCAAGAGATAGCCAGTGCCACAGCACTAGCGGAAATTTACATTTGCCAACTGAAAGCTTTTAGTTAATTGACGTTTCAGTTGATCGACATTCGAATAATCAATGCTCTACTGTATTATATGTTTCTTAAAAAGTTTAAACTTTAGAAAATAAAAAATACTTTCACCAGTTATATATTAGCTTCTTCAGTTTTGTATTCAAAGTTTTCAGATTTGAAGTGATTATTTTGAATCCAAAAATTTTAGTGTTTTAATACAAAGATTATGAATGGTGCATGTACCATAATTTCAGGTGGATAACCTGTGGGTTTGTGTTTGAAAGATAATTTAAAGGAGGAGCAGATTAACCAATTTTTAAATTCCAGTCACTAGTTAAAGTTGATTCACACTTTACAACTTGTTTGTAATATAATAGCCTACAGTTAATATCAATAATAAAATTATTAGATTTTTTAAAAATAAATTTTAAAAAATTAATAGAAAAGGAAATAGAAATATATAATTTTCTATTACAAAGGAAATAGAAAATAATAATTACTATTGGACAAAGGAAATTAGTCATAAAATAAAAATGATAAATTGTATTTATTTATTTTTACACTTAATTTACATAATTGCATAAGTTTATAAACATCTGCTATCAAATTATGGGCATAACCAGTGAGTACAGGGATTAATTTCTCAGCAGCCACAGGTATGGTACAATGTATGGTAAAGTACTTAGCCTTAACTTTCCTGTTAAGGCTAAGTACTTTACCATGCATACACACAAGGCATCTTTAAATACACATTAACAAAGACAACACACTGCTACTATACTAAATTATTGTCTTCTGTTAATATACACATGGATAAAAAGATATCTAATGTTTTAAATTTTATTAATGTTAATTAAAATAATGTAAAATGGATTTAGACATTAGAGTTTAAAAAATAATGTTTTTTGCTTAATGTCATTTTTAGTTTCAAGTTTGTTAATTATTATTCTGAATTAAATTTAATAATTAAATAAAATTATTAAATGTAATTCAAAAATTATTGTAATTGTTAATTAATGTTAGCATAAGATAGCAGTCTAACTGCATATCTTTAGAAAAATTATTTTATATTATTAATAGTTAGCCAAACTATAATCTGAATAATCCAAAGTTTAGTATGATTATCATAGAATATTTGTGCTTGATTGTTTATTTACAGTACATCTATAATGATTTGTTAATAGAAATGAAACAGAAAAAGAAATAGTTTAATGCAGTGTTTCTCAATGGGGGCAATATCGCCCCCATGTGGGCATTTTTCCATGTTGAGGGGACGATTTGTAACAATTTATATTTTGGGGGGCAAAAAACAATTTTCTGGGCGATATAGTAAAACATTATATTAAGATTAATTAGATATTTTATTCGTTATATCATACAATAATTAAACAAATAACATTATACTACTCACTAGTCTATTCAATGCAGTACAAATTTGGCATTAGCCCTGGCCCACGGCATCAGAATTTTGAAGTGAAGGGGCGATACTATGTAACGGTTTTATTGAAGGGGCGGCGATTCATTAGAGGTTGAGAAACACTGATTTAATGCTTGAGATGGCAACTTCTAAACTGAATACTGGTAATTATCTTATTTTCAAGTCATCCCAGTGGAATGTATCCCATTCCATTTGGATGACTGTTGACATTTTCTGTGGAGTATTTCATCACTATGGGTTGTCTGCCTAAAATTATGGTACTTTTTATTTTTTAAGGTTTATTACAAATCTTTAAGAAATTTACCTTTCACTGTTTTATTTATATATTTAGTTCAAGATAATAGAGGATGCATTGCAGCAAAATCAATGATAAAAAGTAATTGATTTTGTAATAATTAATTAATTTCATATAAACAGTGTTGTGTATAATTACAATGCATACATGTTTTACTAATTAGGTTAAGTTAACAATACATTTAAAACTATTTGGCAAATAAGAACCAATTATCTTGTGATAAATTTTGTTCTAATTTAATTCAATGAATTGAAAGATATGATACCAAAATAACAGCATGTAAGATAGCATATGTTGTTGTTATTTATTATTTCAGTAATAAAGTAAGAACAATATAAGTTGCTTTATGTATTGTTTTCTCTTTATACATTATTATTTATGTATTTTTATCATTAATGTATTTCTAAATAATTTTTTCAGTGGTAAAATGCACTGTCTTATTGAAGAATATGGATGATTTTTCAAGAGTGAATGATATTTATAAGGATTGTAAGTGCAATGCAGCTTATTGTTTTTTATTTTGCTATTTCATTTTTAATCTCAATAATCTCAATAAAATGTAGCAGTAAGTAGAAATTTCTTTTTATTGATAATTATCTGGCTTAAGTTGTTACAGACTAAACAGCAAAATATACAGTACAATTTCTTTTTTTCCCTCTAAACATAACTTCAAAAACTGAAACTAATAGATCAAGGAATAATAAAGAACATTAAAGTTTATTATTGAAAATACATTTTAATGAAAATTTGGAAGCTTAGAAGAGATTCAGTCTTTGAAAGGTTTAATTCTGCTCTGAGATTGTGTATATGAAATTCACAAGGTCAAGAAACAATGTTTTCCATCCACTATCAAGAATTACTTCAGAAAAGCCATCATTATGAAGGAAATTAAAAATAATGTACTACATGAATGCAGACAGTGATATTCAAGCTCACAATTTACCAGTGGAAGAGTTCAATATGTTGAATAAAGAAATATAAGATGATAATAGACTTGTTAGCAAACCATCAGGTAATGAAGTATTTACAACATTCCAGACAATAAGGCAGGCCTGCAATTTCAAGGGGGTTGGAGAAAGACAACTCAATTTGTTAAATGAATGCAAATTGTTTATTGAAAGGAAAACTTTAAAAACTGCATACAAACAAAAATAAATTAATTTTTTTTAATACTGCACTAGTAAATATGCCCATCAAGAATGACAGATTATATGATGTTTAGTAAAGTGAAAGTAAATGAAATAACTAGAAGTACAATTTTATTTTCTAATTTTTATTAAAGGAAATGAATTTCTAGCTATATGCCCCTCTTCAGTCCATATTATATATAACTAGCAGATAAGCCCAGCATTGCTCATGCAAGAAGTAATGATAGCAAAGATTAAGATTATTAGATTATAGCCAATCTTATCCATTTTGACCAGGTGCAAGAATAAGTCCCCCCTCTTCAGAGACTAATTAGAAGGTTTTTAGGTGGGTCTAAAAATATGTTCAATTTCCTGCAAAAATGCAAAAAACCGCATCTAAAATAGTACAGTAGAAGCCAAATTCTTCAGGGGAATTCTTAATTCTCCTCTCTCCACAGGGGAAATTTCCAAAAATCCCTTCTTAGTGTACACATACTCATGACATACCATAACTGTGTACCAAATTTCAACTTCTAACCATTTGGGCTCTGTGCTTATTATTGTTATCATCAACTCATCTTGATTATATTATAAGATGATACAACTGTAATATAACTAATGTTGACAACAGGAATACCTGACTGGAAAAATGGACAACTGAAGTATTTATTACCTTATTTTTAGCCAGTTTTTATTGGTTTTAAAGTTTTTGTTTTTACTCCTTTTATTTGTCAATTTTTTCCATATTTTTAGCAAGGTTTACTTTTTTATTTTATACTTTTACTAGTTTTACTGTACATTTTTAACACTTAGTTATTCCAGTTATCATTACATTAGTTATATTAGAGTTTTATCATTATATGTAATAAGGACTGAAAAGAAACATATAGCCCAAAATGCATTTCCTATAATAAAAATTAGAAAATAAAAGCTACTATTTCCATCGAAAAAGTGTTCCCAATGATAAGTTCTCCATAGCAAATTTGTGCTTAATTCCAAAGAACATTCACTCAAAAAAGAGAACAGCTAGCAATCAAGTAACAAGTAATAAGTACAATATTTTATTAAAGAAAAATTTAGCATACATCACAAAACATCTTTAAAAATAATATTTCTGATAGATGTATCCTTTTATCATCATCATGTGTAATTTCTATTTTCTGAAAAATATTATCTGAATTCAATGCAATTTTAAAGAAGTTATAAGGATTGTAAGTGCAATGCAGCTTATTGTTTTTTGTTTTGCTATTTCATTTTTAATCTCAATAATCTCAATAAAATGTAGCAGTAAGTAGAAATNATCAATTCAAATTCTCAAAAACTTAAGTTATAAGAGAACAACATAATATTTTTCTTGGCTAAATATAGAATACAGTACTTATTTATGATATGGGTCATATTTTTGAGTAAATTTTACATAAGTTGAGAATATTTGATTTCATTTATATTTTTCTGGAAGTTAAATATTATCTTAATACAAATTTATATCTTCTACTAGATTTTAAATTATTATTTTAAAAATAAATTTGCTATTATATAGTACTAAAATTAGAAAAGTATTGTAAATCATATAAACTTTTTGCTATAACTCATTTAAATATTAATTTAAAAATGATTTTAATTTCATTTGTAATCATAAATTTTTAAAATTTATTTTGAAACAAACCAAGAAAAATGCTTATTGATATAATTTATAAGTAGAACTAAACACCCTAATTAACTTTATCTTATTCTATTTTGAATTTCTTTGACAAGTAAGCTCAAGGTGACTCATTAAATAAATCAAACATTTGTTCAAATTATATACAGTAGACCCCCCTATAACATGGTAGATACGTTCTGTGTTATATGAATTTGTGTTGTACAAGTCACTTAAATACATGAGCCAATCACAGCCCAGCACTTGTGCAGTTTAGGGGCTACAGCTGTTTGAAAGGTTTTCTTCCATAAAATGAATCAATTCTAGATTAATTTGACTCGAACGTTTCCAAAACACATATAATTTTTTGGGAATAATCCATATAAACTATGCTATAAACAAAACTTTGTAAGAATACTTACCAAGTGCACACCATTCAAAAATGCCATTGCTTAGCTTGTTTTCATCATGGACCGGCTTATCGAATGGTGGACGCGTTTCCTGATAAGTTATTCTTTCTGCGAAAAATTCACTGAACTTTAGATAACATAAAAATTATAAAATTAAAGTATTAGACTTACAGTAGCTAATTTATGTATTGTACAGATGATAGTAAACTCAACTTTCCCACCTAAATTCTCCATATATACATGTGGCACTGAACGGCGGCAAGTAGTTCAGCTGCTTGTCCACTATTGGTCCAGATTCAACCAATCCTGTCGCGACACAACAATCTGTCTCATTCTTTTACCATGTTATACGAACAGGATCACAATTCTTTTGTCGTGTTATACAAATTAGTGTTATATGAACCCATATTATAGGGGGGTCTACTGTACTTTTCACTATATGATGCTTGGTTCTATTTATAAAATATTTTATTAATAAAAGTATAATATATTGTATAGTACTGATCTGTGTAATTGTTCGTAATTGTTTGTTTGAAATAATCCACAACAATCAATATTTTATACTTTTTTTAAAATTTAATCTTTTACAGTAGTTAAAATAAGATCATTTCAACATAATTACTTGGAATGCCGAGAAGTCAGACAGTTGAATTTTTAGATAAACTGCTATAAATTCTATATGGAATCTTCAATTTGATCCTAATACAGCTATAAATTATGTGAAAAATAAATTTAGATAATATTTATTTATTTGATATAAAATTCATCTGTGAAGGATGAAACAAATTATACACTAGATAATAGAAACATAATTTATCAACTCTAGGTCTTTTCAATTTATATATTAGCATTTTTATGAAAATGCATATCAAAGCAAATGCATTTACAAAATACTTTTAATCATTGCACAAATTTCAAGTATTGCACTTAGAAAGTTCTAGAGCAGTTTTTAAATTTCTTTGATTGGTAGCCTTAAATAACATTAACATTTATAGAATATCAGTTGAAGTAAAATATGTTATGTTAAGTTAATTTTTAACTTATCGTATGAAATATAATCTTATCAAATGTAAACTTATATATCTGCATTTTAAAGAATCTTTAAATATTGTGTAAAAAAATTAAAGCTGCATTTAATATTATCTATGCTTACATCAAAATAATCATTCTTAAATTAAATAAAAAGACATCTATTTATTTATTAAAGTAATAATTTTTAAAAATTTTAAAATCAGTTTTAGTTGTGTTCAAATTTCTGTATGAATCAATTTCCTATGATATGCAATTACTTGGATTAGTTTCACAATGCTTTGGTGTATTTTGATATTTCCATTTTAAAAATTATTAAATAAAAGATTTTAAATTTATGTACACACATTAATTACAGTAATTAATTAATAATGACTTTATAATTATTGCATTTCCAGAATTTAATATGTTAAAACATAATGTCTGATAGTAAATTATAAAGTTTAAAATTAATGATTTAAATAAAATTTTTGATTCATACATTTATAAAAATTTATGAAATTTGATAATTTTTATTCTATTATTTAGACTCCTCCTTCTATACAAATGAAGTCTAAATATTTGTCTTTAAATTGTGATATTATTGCTTGAAGAATATTGTATGCAATTACTGTTTATCCATTGATTATTTTAATTTTAATTAAACTTTCTATTTATTAAATTTTAGGCTCTTCAAAATTTAAGCAAAATACTTGAAGCTGCAGGTCTTTCATATAAGAATGGTAAGTATAATTTTTTAAATATAATTTATATAAATATTTTAATTCAACTGGTTGAGTATTTATACCTTACAAAGAAAATTCGTTTATTTGATAGACTGAGTTATTCATCATCATTTTTTTTTAATAGACACATATTATACATAGAAATATGTATACTTGGAACTGTATATAAAGTATTAATAATTATTATGAATAAACTGTTATATTACACTTTATTCATATTATTAATTAATATTTTTGGACAATCACGTTAACCCTGTTATAGTGATAAATATATTAATTGCACATTGATAAATCAATCATAAATACATATGCAAATTCAAAGTACAGTAGAGCAGTGATTATCTGAATCAATTGGGGAGTGGGGTTGTTCAAAAAATTGATTTTTCAGATAACCAATTATGTACAAAAAAATATATTAACCTATCCCATGTTGAAATTTATTCAAATCCTGGCACGTCCTTAAATACCCTCTCATGGTCGTGTCAGTGCTGCCAGCTAAAACACGCGCACCAACAAAATATTGGAGTAGCCCAAGAGATAGCCAGTGCCACAGCACTAGCGGAAATTTACATTTGCCAACTGAAAGCTTTTAGTTAATTGACGTTTCAGTTGATCGACATTCGAATAATCAATGCTCTACTGTATTATATGTTTCTTAAAAAGTTTAAACTTTAGAAAATAAAAAATACTTTCACCAGTTATATATTAGCTTCTTCAGTTTTGTATTCAAAGTTTTCAGATT